GCTAAAAACATGGGTGGTAGATCATCTAAATATCTGATTTGTGTCAGTCATATGTGTCCTTTTCTGACTGTACAAGCAATCACTTTCCTATCAATAGTAGCAGGAGCCTGCTGTAGATTATAGATCTTGTGATGTCATTTTAGATTCTGTTGAATATTTATTGTAGCATGTTGGTCTTCTTTCATGGCGTAGACAGCCAGATCTGGGGATGTTGGCATCTATTTTGAATGTCCTACACTTTGTTGAGAAAATAAATTTAAAATAAGCTAGTTTTAAAACTTAACATGTCTTGATTCAAATGGCCTAATTGTGGTTTTGAAATCAGCAATGTATTCTGACTGTTTGACCTTTATGTTACCTGTAGTTACAGCAGATGGTTTGCTAGGATCATTTGAACTGCCTTTTGTCTGTGTGGGAAAACAATACAGTGGAAGTTGTAGCTTTTCACACTCATCTGTGAAAAGCCGTAAACACGGCAGGGGTTTCTGGCTTGAGAGAGGGTCAGAGATAGCTCCTGGTTGGATGAGCAAAGATACGCCTTATTTGAATAAATTAAAGATAAGAATACGCCTTTTACTATAAAACTTTCTACACAGAAGTAACAAATCAGATTTGCTCTTGCAACTCTCCAAAGATGTCTTTGCACGTCTTTGCTTTTCTTCTTTCTATTTATGTCAGGTAAATGAATGTATGTCTCTGTTGTTCTGCAGTTTCTGGTGTAAGTTTGTGCATTGTCTTACTTGTAAGTTTATGCATTGTCTTATATTGGATTAAACTCTGTAATTCTGTGACGTCAACACCCATTGTTGTTTTCCTTGTGGCTACACGTGGCCCGCCGAGAGGACCTGGGATCCAGAGGAAGAGAGAGAGCCAGACTTTTTCCAAAGTTAACCTATTTTAATATTTCTTCCTTAACAACTTGTAGACTAATTTTCTTATGGAGAAATGACCGATTTTAAATATTTTTGAGACATCATCCCTAATAAACTGCTAAGGTCTTCTTCTAAAAGAATGAAGGTAGCACTTTCAATCTTCCCATGGTGTTTACTGTCACTTATCTGTCTGGAGCATGCACAAATAATTTTCAAATGTGTAAAAGGCAAAAGGAAAGATGTTCTCTTCATGCTGACCTGACATGAAATAGCTGTGTGATCTAAGCCATTTCAAGTGGAAATAAACATTAAGGTTTCATTCATCCATTAACAAAATGCCTTGACTTCAGCTTCTGCTTTTTGTTTCTATTCATTGAAATTTTCAAATCAACACAAACTACTCTTTTGTCCAAATATGTTTGACAAAAATATGCGTATATATATTTATTTTAAGTAATAGGTTTGATATTAATGAATTCAACTTCATTTCATTCAAAGTACACCTGTTGTATCTATCATTATAATATCATAATATATATTAAAAAAGATACAGCTGCCAAAACTAAACAGACAACATAATCATGTGAAATTACAAAAATGTGAATAAGAGGTGTTTTTATTGTCGTTGTTGTTTTAAAGAAAAGATAAAAGGTGAATATGTGTGTTCTATAGATCATATAAAAATTATATATGTTTGACCATGAACTACACTATTACACGGCTGATTTTTATAAAATAACAAAAGCCTAATTCAAACAATCACTCTTCATATCTCGGAGATCTACTGCCCCCTGGTGGGAAGAATGCGGGATCTCACTTACCTGCGAATTTCCAAACAAGGCTATCAAACAATATTTAAACGTAACAATAATGTAATGATGAATACATTCTGCTTATTTTAGGTGGTATTACAGTAAGATTGTGGTCGATCTGTCTTTATTTTAACAAGCAAATTTAACATAGTTTATCTAATTCTAAAAATGAGTTTTTAAAATATTTTACTCTTGTACAGATAATCTGAGATTAGGGATCTTACTGTGCATGGTGGTGAAAACTTTTTTTTTTATTTTCTTCCTGCCCCCCTATGGATAGGCTATTGGCTTTCTATGGATTAATAATGCAGTATTTATATTTCATGCTCACCTGACATGAAGTAGCTGTGTGATCTAAGCCATTTCAAGTGGAAATAAACACTTGAAATGTGTTTATTTCATAGGGACTGATTTGATTAGTCAAATCAGTCCCTTCGAAATACAATTTACATTGAACAGACATTAAACAAACATTAACAAAAATGTTTTCTTTAGTCAGGAAGAAACTGACTAAAGTATTCAGCAAGACAGTATTCAGTATTTTTTTGTACTACATTAAAATATTAAGCAACGTTACAAATATTAGATCATTAACACAGAAAAGAAAATATCTTGCTTATAAAACCAGATAAATCAAATTTATTAAATATGTACGGGGCTGTCTCCATGTTCTTGGATGGAACAAGGAAGCTATGAAGTGATTTTTATGGATAAATTAATAATAGTGGAAGAAATGGAGAGCAGGAAGATATTAGTGTTACAATTTTGAGGGAACAAAACAAAAACATCTTTGACCTGTCAAAAAGGAAACAAAAAAAAGAAAAAAAAAAGAAAACAACTTCCTCATACTTTAAGACTGCCAAGAAACACCAAGAGGATGTACGTGAAAAATCACAGCAAAGTCTATTCAGATATGTTTTTAGGGCATATCATGACGTATCGTGTCTTAGAACAACTCATCCGATTTAACTGATTCAGAACACAGTAGTTAGTCATGCTGGAACAATTTTATTAAAGATCATTAGAGTAATGATTAGCTTGACTGTGGCTAGCATCGTGTTCCTATCCTTCAAAAGGCATGACTGCAGCGACGCAGCTCTAATCTGTCCAAGTCACAGTTTGAACTCAGGGCCTTACGTGTTCATTTGAGTGTGAACGGGGGAAGGGAAGGGTCCCTGATAAAAACGGACGGAGGATCTCCTGAGACAATGCAGTAGCTCCACTGAGCAGGATCCCTAATATAAAATCCCATCAGTCCCAGTAGTCTTCATGCCTGTGCTCAGGTTATCTTTAATCACTTCCTTGTTCTTCCTCCAGCATGTATCTGATTGAATTAATGCGCTCCCTTTTAAATGTTATAATAGCTTCTGTGCAGCTCATTCAAACCCGAACATAATTTTCTGACGAGGGGAGATAAACTATTGGGGGAAGATAATACATACCGTTTTCAATTCCACAAATGGAGTCACTGTTTTAGGTTCAGCGAAATAATTGCAGGGGGTAAATAGATTACATACAATGACACTAAATTATAATTTTTTTGTAACAGATGACGTGATATACAATCAAAGCACACACAACTAAAACGAAACACGCAGATTTTCCATTTCAAGTTCATGTGATGTTGTTTTTCTCCTCATATCCATTACAACTGGTTTGAGTGGATGTTTCCATTCATGCCCTCAGTGCCTTCTGCAGCTGCGATGAAGCCAAGCCTTGTAATCTAAATACATGTTCTGCTGGTTTAACGGTGCCTTGCAAATTTACTTCTGACACAGTTCCCTCTCTTACTCCCAGCTAGCTCCTGAGATTCCTTTAAATCTTAGGCTCTTGGATGAGATTCACACACATGCGCTGCATTGACATTACGCACGATAAAGCTCGATTCGAATCAGTTGCCGTCAGCCTTTAAGCATACTCGCACACTGAGGATATGTAAAGCAAGGGTTTGTGTTCAGCAGGCAGTGGTCTGTTAGGAAAATGAAGCTCTTGTCTGCAGAGGTTAGATCAGTCTACTTTATTTGCCTATAACTGCCCATTTATCTTCAGTTAGTCACATAAAACACACCCTGCATAACAGCTTCCAGCACCAGCTCGATTGCTCCGAAGTGAAACTAAGGCCAGATTTGCAATCTCCAGGTCTTTAAACAGCCTTACTGATTGTTAATTGCCCTTTTCATCTCTTTGTCCTTCAGTGTGCTCATAGTCATGTGCAACACACACTGCTTGGATACATTATCTATGATAGTCAAATATCATAAAGATTTCAGATAAATGTTAAGTAGCACATACTTTACTCGGCGTGCAATGCGTCCTGGCGGTTTCCAGACATCATGTCGAGACTTTGATTCACACTGGGGTTTTTTTATATTTAACAGCTTCCACCTTCTTTTGCCCCTCTGAGAATCCTTGGAACATGTTTAAATGTTAAAGTTTAAATATATTCATCCTTCACTGCAGTAGTGTGATCTGTTTGACTTATAAATATTGCATTACACAGTGGCACATTCAGCCACTCTTAAAAATAGGACAAATGAAGCAACATGCCATTCAAGTAAGAGAGTTGTGAATTGATCTTCATGAATCACTATCCTGAGCTTGCAGATCGCAAGCTCCAAGAGAAGTGTGGTTTTTGGGATGAAGAAGTCTCAATTATGAGCGTTACATAAAACCTACAAGTCAACTGGTTACTCTGGATTTATCCCAGGGAAAATACTTTTCAGTCCCACCATCACAACACTTAAATTGGGACTTTAATTAGGACTATTGGGACTTTAATTAGAAGCGCATGCTTTGGTCTGATGTTTTTTTTTTTTTTGAACAGCAAACACTCTAGATGAAGCTGGTGCAAAACAAAGGGTTGGAATGTGTGTGTAGGGTGTGTGATGCTGCTGGCTTGGAGGTTATTGGCGTCTGACAGCATGGATCACGAATATTTTGAAATCCTAGGCTATTTTTGCAAATATCTGGTTGAGTCTAGCAAAGAACTGAAGGTGGTCTTTCTGAAGTAAACAAATCACCAGAGAGATGATTTACCAAACAGAAATTCTGCATTTTATGACCACTTCTTTACTGAACAGGAAAGGACACAGGACTCTGGTAGGTCCAATGAAGATCGAGGTCTAAGATTCCATCTCTCTGTATGTTCAACTTCGTTAAATGCTACCAAAGACTAAGTTCTGCACTATTTTCAAAAGGAGTGTACAGATCTGCATGTTCTGAATGTGTGGTTGAATGCACCAAACTGTAGCGTGGTAATGCCCAACTGTAAGGAAAGATGAAATCATCGTAAGACTTTTGTTTTTATCAGAATCAATTTCAGATTTTTTTTTTTGTACAAAAAATGGTGCAAATGTAGAGTTCACCAAATGCGTAAGAAATTGAAACATGCTGTACTTTTAAAAGACGATGTGGAATCTGAACAATAGAGATATGATGCATGAGGATTTTAATTTGAACAGTTGATTTTTTTTATGTATATTAACAATGTGGCAATCAGCAGCGTCTGATTCCAATTCAATAATGAGTATGCACTGGCTCCATCTTACTTTTAGGATACAAGTGATTTTAATTTACAGAGTAGTAAAAAAAATTACAAAATCACAGCTAATTTCTGAAATAAGTACCTTCCCTGGCAGGATAAACTGTGTCCTGGTTGTTTTTCAGAAATTGCATCGGGTTTTGTCAGACAAAAACTGTGTTTTATTCTGAATAATGACATCACATGTCCCTTCCGCTGGCAATATTGCAATATGTGTGCATGGAATAGAGGACAAAAGAGTGAAAATTAAAGAGATAGATGCAGCAGTGTGCAAGAACAACTTTGATGCCATCAGTTAAGATAATGACACAATGAAGTGTCAGTGAATGTCACACTATGTAAAGAGGGGTCACCAAATGCCAGATAAGTCCGGGAGAAGATTAGACGTGAATTTGCTTGTGAGCACAGGCCAAAGAAAGAAGTCTTTTATTGACACTGCTTTTATCTGGAAGCCAATCGTGGACCAGTTGTTTGTCAGCTGCCTACTGGAACCAGCTTGTTCACACACTGGCAAACAATTAACCGTGTGGCATTTCACAGTGTCACGATTAAACAAAAGAAACCCGCACTCTCTATGTACGCAGGTCTTTTCACACATTAGCTTGTAGCAGGTTCAGCAGTAAAAAAAAAAAAAAAAAAAAGATGTTTGAACTGTTGCTGTTAACTACAGCCAGCTGACAATATTATTTAAATTTTTTACTACAATTAGCACGATGCTTTGGAAACATCATTGTTTTGTTGACTGATCCGCTCTATTTTACATTTGGCAGCATGCAAAAATGACTTGGATGAAATAAAACAATTGCAAACTTTATTTGTATCAAACATCTAAAAACACATACACTTTCTTTACAATTAAAAAAAAAGCAAAGCATGTAATAAGACAAAGTAAGCTTCAAAATTCCAGTGAATATTAATATTTCACCTTGTATACATTTCTTGCACTGTGCCTATGGGATGTTTTTAAATTTAATTTCATTTAATTTTAACTTAAGTGAATGAGCAAGCATGCTTCCCAAAGGACATTTCACAGTATCAGTGTCAAAACACGTAACACAAATTTGTCACACATGCTTGAACAGCGACATCAAACATGCGTTCCTTTGGAACTTACATTTTCAAAAATGCATTTCATCAACAACAAAACAAAAACACACACAAGCTTCATTGTGTTTCGTACTCAGTTTTCTTAGTGCTTTTGCTTAGCTTTTCATCTGCAAAATATTATGTAAACACAACTTTCGAGGTCTGACTGGCACAGCTCAAGAAAGACCTCAGTGCAGTGGCAATGCAAAGGGAAACATAACAAGAAATACAAAATAAAAATAGAAAACACTTGTAAACAACTTAAACACACCTATATTTAAAAAAAAAAAAGTCAACTGAAAACCACATTCAAATGTTACAATTATGCACATAAGGCATGAAAAAAAATAAATTAATGAAATTATCACTTCTCTGTCTCCCTCCATCCTCTTGCATTCCTTCCAAACTTGTAAACCAGTCTGCGCCCATCCACTCGCTCTAAAATTTCTCTCTTGTAATAATATCTGTAATGGAGACAGGAACAAAATTCATTTTAGAAAATTCACAATATATATATATATATATATATATATATATATATATATATATATATATATATATATATATATATATATATATATATATATATATATATATATATATATACTGCTCAAAAAAATAAAGGGAACATTTCACTTTAATTTTGTGTGTGGCTCCAAATCCAGGCCTCCATTGGTTAATAAATTTGATTTCCACTGATGATTTTTGTGTGATTTTGTTGTCAGCACATTCAACTTTGTACAGAACAAAGTATTCAATGAGAATATGTCATTCATTCAGATCTAGGATGTGTTATTTGAGTGTTCCCTTTATTTTTTTGAGCAGTGTATATATTTTTTTTTCCTGAAGTTTTGTTTGTGCTTGTTTTTAATTAGGTAATTCAAAATGCAGCTTTATTATGACTAAAGTTATCCTTAATTTTGTAAAATAAATAAATAAATAAATAAATAAATAAATAAATAAATAAATAAATAAATAAAATAAAATGGCATATCAAAAATTAACAATACCTTTCTATATAATCAAGGTGTGTAAGGAATTCCAACAAATCAATGTCAGGAGTTTATTGGCAGGATACATAAAACCGACTCAACTCATATAGTTTAAAACAATTCTATCAAATACTGTGGAAAAGATCTGTGAATTTCAAAAATTAAAACATTAATCAAAACATTATCTCTCTAAATACTCGGTTGTTTAACAAATAAAAATACATTTAGCTAATTTACCTATTTTACCTCACCTAAAATTGGAAAAACAAATGACTCGATATCAAGATAGGGACAGAAAAAGAATGGAAGTCCTGTTCTGCAGGGTATCTAAAAGTCTGCTTTGAACTGCGTGCCTCCAGGTTGCACAACCAGGATTTGATCTAAAGGTGTTACAATGTAGCTGGTATGCTATTTGACACCATTGTTTGTTTGCTTTTGCAACACGTCAGCACCTGCACACAATAGTTCTTCTCTTTGTTGCTTTCTGTCTGACTTGTTTTCCCCTCAAATGTAAGATTTTTCCAATGAACAAGAAACAATTTTCCATATTTTTAATAGGTTTGCTCTTTATTCTTGATTTTTCACTTCCTCGTATCTCATTAGCATATTTTTTTTTCTCTTTTCAGAACAGTATTTTCTATTGCTGAAAAATAAGATTTTAAGACTAGTTTATGAATATTTAATACAGTTCAACGTATAAAACTTTAATGTTAACCTATTCATATTTAATCTCAATGCGCTTGCTTATAACTCCATAAAGTTTAACACAGTGACTCCCATTGTGTAAATACTTTACAAAATAGGAGTATGATAAAGCAACTTTCCATTAAGGTTACACAGACTTTAAATTTTATGTAATGAATTTGGATAAAATATTTTGACTACTTTTCTTTTGTCATTATTCTTTACCTTTGAGTGAGAGCACCAGTCTTCAAAGTTACAACTGCAAATCATTTAACAGCAACAGAATACATAAAAAACCACCTTTGTCCTCACAATGACACTACGCTCCTGTAGATACATGTGATTTGTACAATAATGCTGCTATATGACTCAACCAGCCAACATTTCCTTGGTGAAATTCTCTTTTTTTCCCCCTGCCTGTATGTTAATAACATATAGTAGGAATAAATATGAGTTAATCTGACATTGAGCAATAGAAACTCATTAAAACTGTTTTTCAAGTTATATGGTTTTGGTTGGAACCCCAAGAATGCAATGATAAGAATTTGAACCGATTTACTTTCCTTTAGATTTAAGTAAGTAAGTAAGTAAGTAAGTAAGTAAACTTTATTTCTATAGCGCTTTTCACAGACCAGAGTCACAAAGTGCTGCACAAAATGTAAAAAAATATAAATAAATTAAAAGCAACATACAAAACAATAAAACACAGTATTACGCTAAAAAGCAAGTTTAAAAAAGTGGGTCTAAGTTTCCTAAAAGTGTCTATACAATCCAGAGATCGAATGGTACAAGGTAGCTCATTCCAGAGCAATGAGCTACCTCATTGTTGTTCCTTAGAAAAGGAACAACAAAATGTTGAATTTCTTGCTTATGACAAACGACACAAGTTGAGACAAAACTAATACCGACTAGTGATAAAACTGGTGGAGAAACCAAAACAAAAATTGTGATTTATTGATTGGTAAAAAAAAAAATAAAAAAAAAAAAAATGGTATGGAGTGCAGTCATTCCCACAGTGTGTTTTATGGCATGCAAACATGAGGTTTTGTATTTGTGTAGCTACGTTTGTAAAACCTGTGTGGCTGTACCTCATTGCACGACTTAGTTTCTCATAGGTCATGCTACTGTTATTCTTCTTCTTTCCCCATAGCTGAGCCACAGCCTCAGACTTCAGGAAACGGAATACCCCCTCTGTTCGATCTTCCCACTTGATCAGCCCAGGGTTTCTCTCTGGGTTCAGAAGAATGTCTCTGATGAACTCCCACAAGTGGGTTCCTCTCGGGTCTTTTGGGACAAAAGCAAGAGGCAGTAAAACAACTGACATATTGTGGAACTAAGATGACTTCTTGTAAGCTGTGTTCCTATTACTTACTGTGTTTTTTGACCTGATGACTTCGACTAAAGGACCGTTTAATGTCTGAAAGAATACATTTAAACTTGGTGAGCAGGCATTATCAATCAGCTCCAGCCACTGTGTTGCATAAACATTTTTTTTTTCTTTTTCTTACCAGGACTTGAAGGGGTGGGAGAGACATTGGGAGCATGTGAGTGAACCAAAGGATCATAGACTTCTGATTAAAAAACAAAAACAAACCAAAAAAAAAAAAGCATAAAATCATCAGTCTGGCAGCTGTTGGAATAAAATGTGTTTTAGGAAAGCAATCCAATTCCAGAAGGATATATTTGCTTACCTCCGGGTGGATAGCTGACATCTGGAAATGGACATAAGTCAGCTGTAAAATGGGGTAAATATGAGTGGAAAGAACATTTATTGGGAATCAACTAAATAGCCCTGAGCAAATCTTCCCAAACAGCATTAATGCTGTATTTCAACTCACTTTCATGTTTGATCTCCAGCTGCCCGATATCCACATGGTACTGGCCTGTGCATCAATAAAGAGGGAACAAAAAAAGAAAAGAAAAAAATCATTTTAGCACAAACATTATTTGCTATGCAATATTTTAAAGACTGAATATTTTGATGGTTAGGCATTTAACAATATAGTTTAATGAAGACATAGTTGCACAGAACTACAAGAATCAAGCTGATCAGCTGGTATGAGCACAATGAGCAACTTTTGACATATTTTGACATAACTGTGAAACATTTCTGTTGCAAGGTGTAAGCTGAAGCAAACTGTATTCATGATGGTGTTCAGAAGTTTAGCCTGTGCAAAAATCTTACAATATTCCTGTTGCAATTTTTCTGTCTGATTTTCTGATTAGTTTGACTAATTTAAAAAAAGAAAAAAGGTCTCTTTGCAAGCTGAATGAATGAACTGAAACTATCAAAAAGTGCCCCAAGCAGTGTGCAAGACGGCCTGAGATTACATCAGGTACATCACAAAATCTGTTACATTGCTTTGAGGCATTATCAGACAATGCTTTACAAGGCAAAGTAGGTGAACTGCACTTTATCTACAGATTTTAAAAACTTGGCATGAACATTTCTGCTCTGATTGGTGGTTTTCTGTTTGACAAAAATGGACACTGATGTAGTTTTTGTAGCAGCACTATATGCTGTGAACTCTGGCTTCCCATTTGTGCTTTGAACTTTAGACACCGATTCTTGGCTTCCATGTTCTGTTTTTTGTCAAGAATGATAACCACATGGAGGTTTGTGCGTGAGGTAAATTAGTTGCGAGTTCCAGTCAGGAAGAACAATAAAAGCACTGAAGTTTTACTTTACCATGCTTTGCGAACAGGGAGGTTAAACCTGTTATACCAGGTTTTCTGGCAGTGTTTTCGCTTGGATGACTCTTAACTTCAGATGCTAGACAAAAGATTATGTGTTTTTCTCATACGCTAGACATGAAAATGAAATATCTCGGTTGTCTTGTAAGCTAAAACCTACACCCGAGAGAAGTAAAAAGGTTAGAAAGTGATTCCTTGAGGCTCCAAACATGTTTCTTCACAGACTCTAATTAAAATCAATAGATGAGTCATTTTCTGCTCCTGTTTACCTTCACGCCCCCTGTGATTTGTTAGACGACCCACTCCAGAAAGAGAAAACAACAAATCTATCATCTCCCCTCGCTTTAAGTACTCCAGCACCATGCAGTGCAACCCCTGACTGACTTTTTGATCCCTTCTCGGCTTCACTCCATCTACGCTTTGTCCCGCACACAACGCTGACTACACAGCCTTTCTTTTACTGGTAGTAATCGTCTTTTTTTTCTGGCCACCTGAACCACTCTCTCGCTCATACCTACCGCCCGATTTTAGCTCTGTGATGCTGTTGTAAAGAATGTGTCCCACACTGCCAGCAGCACGGATGAAGTCATGGTAGTTCAGGCTGCAAAGCTGATGGCCGTCCATGTCAAAGTTTTGGAAGGGAATGGCGGAGGCATCAATCTGGTGGATATCCATGACCTGCTGCAGCCACTCCCACACCTGGTACTTGCTCCAGAACTGAGGCTGGGAGTCGTGGGACCACAGGCGACTTGTGTAGCTGGACATCACCAGTGGACCTGCATACAAATGTCAATAGTTAGAAAACAAAAAAAAAAAAAAAATGTGTTTGCTGTTGTAGACAACCGTTAAAAATTAGGAAAACATACTCAAATGTTTTGCCAATAATGAATCCGAAACACAATTCACTCGAATTCGCTTGATTCATTTCTCAGGCAGGGATTCTGGATTCAGACCCCGTTTTCTGTGAGCGTCAGGGCCCACCAGGTGTGCAACTCATCATTTCTGAATGAGTTTCACTCCGTATTCTAGCGTCACAGAGATGGATTGCTGAAGGGAAAGCAATTAAAATTTCAAACCCAATGTTTTACCAGATTTTCTTCAGACATTTTAGGATTTTATCTGGACAATTTCATCAAGTGATTGATGTCAGGCAAAGACTGCCTACGTGATGCCTGGAAAGAATACTGTCACTTTCCTCCTGACTCTGACAGTGCGGGTTACAGTCCTTACCGTCGTGATAAGAGTTAGCGGGTCCCCAGGTGGCGGTCAGAGGGCTTTCCAGGGAGACGGATGGAGTTATGCTCATATTGCAGATTTTAAACTCTGACCATGGCTCAGGAGCTAAAGTATGAGAGAATATTTGTTACTCTATTAATGAGGAAAAAAAAAAATGAATAAAAAACATCTTTGCTTGTACCCAGACAATTGTTATGTTTTTATGGGTTCTGCCAGGCAGCAAAGAAAAGCGGTATTATTTGGCTGGTTGCGATGCAGGGTCACTGGTGGATTTTCTCTAGCAAAGGGAAGAAAACAGAGTAAACCAGACTGAGCCCACAGCAAATCCAGCAGCAAATCTAATACTCAGTTTATCAGATGCTGCATGTTTATTTTGAGCGCATGGAATTGTGTGAATGCATCTGCTTTTATCCATCAATTTCGTGTGTGAATGTGTGCGTGGGATTGTATGCAAGTGTGGAGAGGCGGAAAGGCAGAGACAGTCTGTAGTCAAATCGGGGTACCACCAATCCTTAGCGCAGCCTCTTCCCACCCAATGTTGTGGACGTGGATAAAAAAACGGCACCATACGAAATTTACGTTACAGTATATTTTAAAACTAGCTCGTCATTCCATTTATGACAACGATAACTGGGGCTACTTAATCCTCCTGCCATAAAACTCTAGGTGAAAACTGTACCATCAAGTTGACACATCACATATAAAAGAGTGTTTTCTAGAGCACTAAAATGGAGAGGCACAAAGCCTTCTGTGTCTGCGCCATTAACGCGCTGAATAAGCAAATTTGTCAGTTGGGTTTTACTTCTTGAAGGAAGTTCATTTGTTTATGTACAGTACAAAAACTGTTTAATTTCTCCGTCTGTGTTTGAAGTGCATCAATTTTTGCTCTTCTCACTCTCAGTCAAAAAACTAGTTAACATTTCCATAATGAATGCATTTTTTTTTCTCCATGTGGGTTGATTTTATCAACTGAGTGAGAAATAATTCCTAACAGTATTTTTCAAGATTTGTTTTTTTTTCTTTCTTTTAAAAAAAAAAAAAAAAATCATTTTAACACCACATATTGCAAATATAAAATGTAAATAAAGGAATGTTTCAGACCTAACTCTGCGTGTATTTGCATGTGATGCAAATATACATGTATCAGAATTTCACCAGCTCCACTGTTTTGGTGGCAGAAGTTTTTCATGCGCACAATGGCTGACTTGTAGTTTTCATAGTTCACTGTTAATATTGGATTTTAACAGTGAGTTGCTGTTACAAGTCTAACAGGAGTGGCATTCTTGAGAAATGAGGCAGGCAGTTACTCATTACTCATTAATATTGGCACTGATAAAGTAAACGGGTGCTTCACAATCTGGTGTTTGTGTTTCGTTGTTCTGTTTCCACAAGATATATATTTTTTTCCTGTACTTATAGGCATGTAAATTAACTAGATGTGTAAAGACTTTAAATGATCAAATGGTCACCTACTATCTAATGTCACGGTAATTACTGAAATATTTTAAGCGACTCCACCATAAATCTAAGCCTTCACCTTTTCCCTGAATAATCTGGGTTACACTTTTATTGTAGGCATTAACTAAAATGACACCAAGTCTCATTATACACCATGATCACAACAGTAGTGCATGAGCACACAGCCACCCTACTGACACACATAACTGAATGACCTTTTGTCTAAAAAATCTGGTAAATCACTTGTATTAAAAAAGCCTAGTGTGTCGATCTTTAAAACATGTTTTTCCTTAAGACCGGTGCTACATGCCATCAGACCAAGCAGGATCAACTCCTCAGCTGTCAGTGTGCCAAGTCTTCAGACGTGTTAACCCTTAGTGTCAGTCACTGCCATGCACATATCTTATCAAGGCGGCAGAGTCAATGCGCCAGTCAGAAAGCTACTTTTATTGTATACCGTAAGTCGAGTCATAACAGAAGATCACTTATTTTCCAGAATCATTAGTGAGAAGCCATATATCTTCTGCAAAAGAAAACCCTAAGATAGTTTGCTTTCATTTTCACATTAATCCCATGGAGGCAGAGAATCTTACACAGTTTGCAGGTTTTCTGTTTTAGTTGCCTTCATATAAGCGATTTCTACAGTCGATCATGTGTTGAAGAATCCCGAATGTGTTCAGCCTGCATTTCTTGTAAGTATGGTAAAGTTACACATGCCATCGCCATGGGTTTCACCGTAAACAAGAGTTTGCTGAGAAGGAAATAGAAGGAACTTGCAGTTATTTTGATTCAAGCAAAATTTGCCACTTACCAGAACAGAACAATGGGGTCCCACTGGACCGAACTGATAGAAGCCCCAGGTAGATCCTCCGCTGATCCAGTCGGACAGATCAATCCAGCTTCAGATGATTCTGGTACTGTGGTTTGCTTATGCTCAGAGCCAGGTGAAGTTAGTCGTCCTGCAATTCAATGCTATGAATCAACAGATGTATACAGGCTCTACAGGTGCTACCCCACCACAATGGGATTTTTTATCCACTTAACTTCCTTATCCCGCTTGATTGGCTCCCTACAGGTTTACACAAGGTAGGTATTTGCATAATACACACCCACACACACACACACACACACACGCACACACGCACACACACCTGAAATAACTTTTGCATTCCTCATTGGCATGGTTCTTCTCACGTTTTACACTTAAGAGCATGCTTACTCAAGCAAATAAATTCACACTAACAAGGAGACATGTAAACCATAAACACATCCACACACATCCAGGGTCCAAATGCACTGCGATGCTCCGAAGAGTAAATATTAAGATGTTTAAGAAGAATGCTTACATGGTTGCTGAGCGGAGTTAAACATTACCGGAAAAAGAAATTCTCCTGTGTTAATATGTAGCACAATATTTGGTTTTCTTACAGCATGATGAACGCTGAGCTGGCAGGTTAAACAGGAGGACCTAAGAGACTTAGTTTCCAGCTAATTTGTTTTCTTTTGAAACAGGCTAGTACCGCACCACAGAAGAAAAAATATATATATATTAAAAGAAGAGGCAGGAAAACACTAGCTTTATTGAATTTCCACATTTGCACAGCTCAGAGTTTCCACTGGAATGGAGAAGTTGAAAATGAAGTTTGTTGTGAATTTGCACTATACAGGTAAACTGAATTGAATTGAAATAAAAATGACTGACAGATGATGGTGTGCAACAAGTTAGCAACACTTGTTAATGATATTCTTGGAGTTTTATTTCTGGGAGTCAGTTTCCATACCCCGAACACATTTACGCGTCACACATTTCAATTTATAATTTTTCCAGTATTTGACATTTGTGAGCAGCAACATACAGTTCTAGTCAGATGTATGGACATGTTCACCACAGATATGAATGTGATAACTTTAGGCTTTTAATGATTTATTTAGATCATTCTGTATCCAGGGCGGATAAATAAAAGTAAATTATACTAAGCTGCTTTGAAGTTATTTAGTCTTTTCTCTCATCTGAATGTGGTCATAATTGCACAAAGACCTTCCAAAATTGAATTTCATTTTGTTTGTTTGTTTTCTGCCGTGAATCAGACTTTTAAGCCAGTCCATCGTTTATTTGCATGGTTACGATCAGGCGATTCCACAAGCTTAATGTTAGCTCGCTTTATGTGTGTAAAGACCAGGTTTGAGATGATACTCTTGTTGGAAAACCCAACTGTGTCCAGTTTTCAACGTAATGACCCAAACGGTCTCGCTTTAGAGGAAGAAATAGTTTTGAGAATGATTACAAACAGACACATGACATAAACCCGATGTGCATTTCTAAACTTTAAACAAACTAAGTAACAACTTAATAACTACCATCAATTCATGAGTTGAGCTAGGAGCTGGATGGCAGTAATGAGACGAACAGCTTCCTTTTAAACTAACTTTATGCTGTAAGTGTTTATTTCTTCGTAAACATATTAATCTCAAGTTCTTGGTCCAGAGTTCAAATAGCAATTAAATGAACTCCACAAAGAAAAATACACAGATCAAATGATAACATAAGCTAATTAATGGGAGCATTAAGCCTGCAGTGTTACTGTTTGATGAAAAGTCTCTTCACAAGTGTGAATGACGAATGTATGTACAGTACATTTCTGACTGCCACTGTATATGCATGTTGAATGCATGTTGAATACAGTATAAGATGCACAATGAATGGTTGGCACTGTTCTCTCACAGCAAAAAAAGGTTCATGGCATAAATTAATCAAATAAAATCCTAGTTGACTCTCTTTTTTTGTGCAGTTTGTTCTCATCCCTTCAATGTGTGTGCGTGTGTGTGTGTGTATACACTCTGGTTTCCTCCCACACTCAAAAATGAGCATGCAAGGCTAACTGTTCACTCTAAAATCTAAGTATATGAGTAGCTGCTTGTTCTCTGTGGCTCCATCTTGAGCCTATGAGGGCCTGGAGGAGTGATGTTTATGGAGTGATGGATGTACTGGGCTCCACATTTTTCCACTTTTCTTGCACAAATATGAGTGAAGGATGAGTTGTATGATGCCAAGACACACCTGTGAATTTCTGTTTGCTTTGTTGTTTTCCCCGCGTCAACTATCAGGTCTCGTATTTCAAATAAACTTTTCCCATTAAACATTGTCTCTGCAGAAACAAGTTCGGAGAGAAAAATAACTTTACTGAAGATTCCATTTCTTCATATCTACTGTTACAACTGGCAATGATTAGATAGATAGATAGATAGAGTTCAAGCCTTCTATTTTTGTTTGCCTCCAATTAGAGTTGGGGGAAATTGTAACATCTCTCGTCTGACACCTAGATGTAATCTGTCAGTGTGTAACTTTACAGAGCCCGTTGGGACCAGCAGCAGTGCTGGGATCTTGCTGATAATTGAGATAACTTTGAACAGGGTTGTACTAGACAATAGTAAAAAAAAGTCAGTGGAAAAAAAAGGATAACCGTTTATCCGCGTAGCTTTTTGTGCAAAGTCGAGGATAAAATACAAATATTTGATGCAGAACAAATAAATCATATTTATTCATCATGCGTTAATATTGATTTATCTAGTCAAGCATTAATATTTCACAATTCAATAAAATAGAATAAAACAAGCTTTGCACTATTAAACTGCATATTTCATTATCCCGACTGGCTTAGATCAATAGCTTTCCCTCATTCCATAGGCTCTATGATCCATGTTTGGGTGTCTGTGCTCTGCAAGTTCAAGCTGCACTCGCCTTGGAAGTTCTTCCTCTCCAGCGTGTGTACCTCAGACTCTTTCCCGCAGACCATCCTCAGAGGTAATGAGGGATAGCCTGATTATCTGTAAAACTTTCACTCCTCTCCCCGTGAGCACCAGATCACCGCAGTCCTAATTGTAACACTCGGAACTACTGATCCCTTACAACTTAAAATAACCCCCCCCACCCCCCCATGTGGGTTTTTAGATAGGTGGCATCAGTCCTCTTGGCTGCTCCTTATTTGTGACACATTTTGTTTTGTTTGTTTGTTTTTTATTTTTTGTTTTCCAGTAGCTGTGCGTCCTCTTCAGGAAGGATTTGTGAAGAATGAAACACCAACAGAGAATAAAGGGGACCCAAGTGGTTCAGAGTGCAGTCATTGAAAGCTTAACCAGGTTTTAGTGCATGAAGATTAATGCAGCAATAATCAGCAAATGGAGGTCACCCACTTCTCATTGCATTCAGTAGTTGGTCTGTCTAAATTTTTAAAACATCTCTCTTCGTCGGACTATTTTATTTGCTGCTTTCCGGGCGGTTGTTGTGGGTCGACATATGTAAAAGTCCGTCGGGAAAACAGCAGCATAAAAAAAAAAAAAAAAAAAAAAGAGACACAGCAGGAGGGATCAAAGTCTGTCATATAGGCTTCACTCCGGGTGAGTCAGCCAGCCAGCCAACACTGTGAGGAAGCAGTGAAGGCATCCTCCCAGATACAAGGAAATGTCATCCAAAAAGCAGTCTTTACAGGCAGTGCCATCTATTTCTGGGAGGGTTAAGTCACTCTCCAATAATAGTTCCCGTCTGATCCATTTATATAAAGGTTCATGACTTGCTTAGCAGAACTGTGACACATTAATGCTTTTTTTTTAAGGATGCGGTCAAAAGTTTCTCCATGACAAGAGCGGCTGTCAACACTGTCAGTCAGAGCAAGCAGACATGACAGGAGGAGGGTACAGTTGTCTGCTCCAATGAACAGTAACTTATTAGCAAGAGTATGTCTATTACTGTCCCAGTTGCCTCCTCTCTTTCATTAACCGCTTATCACACTCGTTAGTGTCATCTTTAATACTTCACATTTTGATTAGCATATGATCCATGGGGAAGGAAGGGAAAAATTCATTTTATTAGTGTCAATTACGGCTACAAATGACAATTTTACTGCCTAAATTGTGATTTTACGTTTCCCCCTTGTCAAAGAACAATGGGTGTGTAAATACAGTAATGAGAAGTGCAACAGAAGAAATGAATTATTCACAATCCTATTTTCTTTCTTGTTCTCCTTTACTCTGCCATGTCTTCTCACTCGGCATCGGTCTGGCTGCATCGCTCATTACATGGGGAAAACACGGGTTCCGTGTGTCTCACAATGTATGCGTTTGGTGTTCAAGAAAAAAAAAAAAAGTCCTGTTCTTACCTGCACGGGGTCCAGGAGCAGGACTGCACTCAAGGTGATTGAGGTGTAGATTTCCTGTTCACCCATAGGTGACACTGTTGTCACATGCGCATCTGGCCGTGCCTGAAAATGAGGTTCTGTGATGAGTGAGCAGCACAGATGTGATATAAGAAAGTGTGGGCGATGAAACACTCTCCCTGACAGTTATTGACTATGCTGCCCATGGATGGTACTACTCATATGGGTTACAGTTACAGATCCTACATACATTATTAGCTTTTATAGGGAGGTGTGATACATGAGGGAGAGGGAGAGATTAGAGATGAGACGCCAGGGCAGGACAGATTTCAAGGGGTGCATTGCCAATTTGTTGTGACAGAGCTGTGCTGTCATATTGGTGCTGCCGCAGCCCAGTGGCAGCCCCTCGTGTTTCAATTATCACCTTTCTGAGGTGGACCAGCAGCTGAGGCTCTTCCAAGGCAACAACGACTGCTTTTCTCAGTGTCCTAAATATCTCTAGTAAAACACAACAGAGAAGCATCTGTTTTTTTTTTTTTTGTTTTTATATATATATACAAACCACAACTCCCTAAAAAGTGACTCTGTCCAAACTTCAAGGTAGCAGAATATAAGGATTTTATATGATAACTGAGAAATAGAGATCCACACACCCCAGATAGACAAGTCAACAATTTGCTATGCATTCTGTAAACCCAAAGTTACATAGAAACAAGCAGAAAGCCAATTATTGAAAGAAAGCCAGCAATTGTAGTTCATCGCAATTTGTGAAGGAGGCACAGCTGATAAGTGAAAGAAGGTGATCTGTTCACATGAGATAAAAGAGCTGTTTTTTTCCCCATACATGCAAAGTGTAATGTGTGGTGGAAAACTAA